TGTATATTCTCCATTTTTAAGAGTATTTTCCAGTCACTGTACAATCTTCATGAGATAACCATAAAGAAACTATTTTCCCTTTAATGAATCCAAGTACATCATTAGTGAATGAAGTTCCACAGTTTCAAATGGAACAAAAGACTATAACTATACTCCAAACTTTAAATATAAATAACAACAAAATGCCTGTCTATTATATATATATTTATTTATTTCGTAACACTGTAATGCTGTTCAAAGGCCTACAAAAATTACACACTGCCATGAACACTGAACTTCAGCACAACAGGGTTTCAGTACTTATTAATCATAATTTTTCCTTGCTTAGAAATATTCATCTTCCTGATGGCAAAATTTAATTAACGTTGTCTTAAATTCCTGAATTCAATATTGGTTGGTATTGTTGATGTCATGAAGTGAAACGACTAACATTGATAACATCCTGTATTTCCAATCTTTAACAAAAGTATGCAATTCTAAAAGGACAGAAGGGGAAAATAGAGTAGAAACTTGTATAACGGATAAAATATAAACTAGTGTTGACTTTTATGACAGGCAGCCTATAATCTTTCACAAACTTGAAAAAATACTTTAATACCCATTACTTCAATTTAATTATAGAATTATGAAAGTAAATTAGGAGAGATCTCAAAAAGTCATCCAGTTTATGCCTTAACATATGATATCTGATCTAGGGATAAGTCTGAATATGTAATCAATGAGCTTTGCCAACTGAAGAATAGACAAAATTTTTCTTACATTACTAACAAATTCTTTTCTCAAAATTGTCAAAACCCACTGCAGGAGAACTTCATATTTTCAGTATGGAAATTCACATAAACTATTTGTGCACAAACAGCACCTGGCCATGATTCATGACTCCTTTTTATGCAGGATGAATTACCTTGCTTTAGCTTTCTTACCCAATAGTATAAACTGCAGTATGACCCAATTAATATTTAATAATAACATCCTAAATTGATATTTTTCGTGAGGATTGGGCTGACTCATAATATATGAGGGGAATTACCTTCACAAAGTATCAAGAAAAGAATTTCAAATGCATGATGTCAGGAATTGAGAAAATTCATTCACAATAATACTAATATGATTATTTTTACAGTGTAACATATTTTAACTTCCACTTGAGTTATTTACTGATTTTTTAGAGATAATGAGCACTATCAGCTACAAGTCAAATCAATAGCATCACAGTTATAATGTCTGAAAGTCTGACCCTTCACCTACACCAGTGAATTTACTCCATGGTTAATTCCACACACAGCACTGCAATCTACAACATCTGCACCACCTAATGATTCCAGTACTGCAATAGAATGGATGGGTAAGCACAAGGCACTCCAAATCAGATTTAAGAAAATATTTATATACAGTCCCCCCTATTTAGTGTCAATATCTCAATAGCAGAGAGATGCAGTGATGTCTACTAATAGTTCTGTACTTTCCTAAGATATCCTTTCAAAATATTTAAAGCATATTATTAAGTGGTTATCCCACTTTAATAAATCTGAACGATCTATACAAAATTAACACAGAAAGAATATTTCTAAAATTTCATACTTGTAGTAATTTTTTTTTAGAATCACTAATTCACAAAGTGTGTCCTAATCATTCATGCAAATCACTAGTTGTAATGAGCAGTGTAACTTTAGCAATGAACTTATTTTATAAATTACAGGAAATGAAATGGAAAACTCAATCCTGAGCTTATAAATGTCAAGTGTAATTTTGTTTTATGTCAGACACAACTACACGTTCTATGTGAGTAAAGAATTTGCCACAAACATAATCCACTTTTGTGGTTGTGGAAAATGCAATGATGCTCAGTACTAATAAATAAATACATTAAAAGATACAGTTATATTAGATTTAGTTTCCACAGTGGGCCAGATCTAGCACGAGAGTAAATCAATAGAACTCTAGAGAAGCTAAGCTATTTCTGACAAATTGCTCTGGATCTGGCCCCTGAAATAATTTTTTTTAAATGATTAAATAAAGTATTGCACATATAAGGCATTGATTTTTATCATTGATTTTGTGCTGGCATTTGAGCCAAGCCTCAAAAAGCTTGAACATTTTATGTATTTACAGCTGTCTGTTGACAAGGAATAACTGATTCATTCTAAATGAAACATATTCCTGAAACTTATAAAAACAGCTTTTCTCGAGACTAGATTTACAAACAACTCATTCAAATAAAAAGTTAGAAAATGTATTTAAATCACTGAAACAAAAGCAGAATTCTTTTTCTTGAATTTTTTTCTGGCTTGTCAAACAAATAAGATAGATTATATTTGCCTCCCAAGAGAGCTCTTCCATCAGCAAAATACGAAGATCAATGATGAACCATCATCTTATAAAAAATATTTCCAGTGACAAAATGATGCTTATTGTTTAGCATTTTTAGATAAATATATATGTAGGAAAATTTTGTTTGCCTGTCACTGTGTTTTTTCCAATCCCCCCATCATTACACAGGAAGAGCAGTCTTTCCTTTTTGACAGGCAATTTCAGACACAGGTCCAGCATGAGCAGAACCTACCTCTGACTCATTTCAAAGCCTCTCTTGTGTCACATTCTAACACAACAACAAAAAGTTATTACCTGGACATAAGAAAATATCATCCTCACAGAGACTATCACATATCAAACCACTCAGCTTCCCCAAGTCTCAACTGGTCAATGTGTTATTCCAGAAGAAAAAGCTTCCTTCCCCTCTCTTTCAGAACCCGTGTACACCAATGCAAAAGTAGAGAATACTGCAACAGGTGCTTTGCCAAGAATGAAACACTGAGCAGAAAAGACAGTTATTCCACACCTTCCAGCCATATTCCTTCTCTTCCTACCATTTTGAGTTACTTTTGGCTGAGCACAAAATCCAGAATAGGTTTTGGTTTACCAGTGTTGGGGGCTACCTTTTCAACATATTTATAGACAACTTTGTCACAGTAGTTGAAAACACAGCTGATAAAATATTTACTTCTAAATCTTAGAATGATGGATAAAAAACACATGAATTGTGAACAACAATACTGATGATGGAGGGTTTTATTCCCATTGCAGTGATGGTGAAAAAACACGGCAGACAAAGGCACAGCTCAAAAGCAGCAGAACAACCAGAAGAGTCAATAGGTTTAGACTCAGTTGTAAAACCAGCACTCATGGTGCTAGCAAACGTGGAATGAGGTTTGTATTCAAACTTACATTGACTGAAAACTCCAGCAAATCACCTTTATAGGCACTGTTTACAGAAACTTTCACAAATAAAATCAGCAAATCCAAATCTTGGATTCTCTGCCAGGTGTGTCTTCATTGGTGAGGCAACTAAGAAGTAGTCATTAGAACCCCATGACAAGGACCTTTTGTTTCATAAAAAATTAAAAGAACACTAGGGAATATTTACATCCCCCTTTTTGTCACCCACTGGTTTTATGAATCCCATACTAACATTATTATTCAGTAGCCTGACTGTACTTGGCACACCATTTATTTCTGATGGTAAGAGAGGCAGATTCTTTCTGTGTAACACACTGATACTAAGATCTCAACAATTTTCAGAGAAGACTGACTACAGCCACATTCTGGTAACAAACATACCTTTTTCTGGAATTGGAGGGAGGTCAGGAAAAACTGTTTTTTAAGACATTTAAGGGATCCCACTAGTATGGGAGAATTAACACCAGGTTCCAGCAGCTATCTTAACCCTCTACCCAATGGTACATGCCAGTACCTTGAAAAATTACAACCAGAATGCCCCGTACTTTGACAATTCCTGCCTAAAAAAATCTCTTTTGGGAGCCATTGGCATAAATAAAAACAGCTGCTAATGTGAGGAATTATAAGAGTGAGAAGCAACTTGACAGATACCTCTGATTTGACTCTGTAAGCTCTTAGTTTCTTCACTAAGCATGGCTTCCTCAGGCCTCAGAAGTGAATTCAAATAAAGCTGAATAAAACTTGGTGCGAAAATGTTTAGCCATTATATTTCCCTATTCATACATTCAGAAAGCTTCTGCACAGTAGTTATTCAAATTTGATTTTTGTCCTTTGATTGTTTTCAGAGATATTACAATATCATCTCAAAGATCCGTATTTATCAGTCTTGAAAGAGCTGACAGTAGTGTGGGTATTCCCTAACAAGGTGCAAAGAACCTGTCGTAATACCATTTTTTGTTGCACAGTTCATCTTTTATAATTGCAGCTTCATTATGATACCTTACATGAACAAGAGTGCATGCACTTCCAACTAGGAAAATAAATGTAATAACTAGAACAAAGAGGATCAGAAAGAGTATATGATATACTCACACCACAAGGTCAGAAACAAAATTATATCTGCCTACTGTCCCATCTTATAGTTCATCCATGAGATGATAGCTGAGGGTCAGGTACCCAAAATATATTTCCAGGTTTTATCCCTTGTATATGTTAGTTCTCCTCCTGCCCCCTTTCTTTCATACTGAAAAGCTGAGTTTCAGAGAGATTAAGCTAAGTAGCATATATTAACTATGGCTCATTACACATAACAATGGAAAAAAATAATATTGGTTCTAAAACACAGAAGAGAAAAAGAAGTGTTACAATAATGAGTTTTTCAACTTATGGATATTCTTCTCTTTATTGAGAGAGAAAGACCCTGTATTTTTTTCTCAAAAGATCTGATCCTAGAGTTAAAATTGTGTCTTGCATGGCACGATGCTTTAACCCCTCTCACACATGATGGTTCCAAAGCACACACTCAGAAAAAATTGCAATTCTCAAACCTAAGCAAAACACTCAAAAAAAAAAGGTGTTTTGACAACTGAACATCTGATGACTGTATCACTTAAACCCTTCTATTATTTAACCCTTCTCAAGATTTAACATAATAACATGCTTCATTGTATCTCTAATAATCAGTCTAAAAATCCTTTACATTTAAGGTCTTTGGCTTAATTAGTGGCAAAATTTCTAGGATTCATTAATACACTCTCTTTGTCGATGCAGTTTTTGCTAAGTAGGGCATACCTTAGCCTATGAAAAATGTCTGATTGATTATAATCAATACAGTATTCAATGCACGAAACAGATTTTTCTGCAGTAGTGTGTAACACAAAATGGCTAAAAAAATATGCAAGCTTGTGTCCACCACCCTCTATCAGAAACAACTGACTTTCTAACGGCTGTTTCACTATGAATAATGCATTCTTCTAAATCCTCTCAAAATGCAAAGGAAAGGCTCTAGAGTTAAATAGTTTTCACTGAAAAGATAGTTTCTAAGTTCAACATTTCTGCGCTCAGGTTTCATGTGCACCGCATTTTTCCCCCACCATCTGCATACAGCATACACATGCATTACTTCAACATTTTCAAAAGTCCATTAGTTATTCTGCAAAAAGCCTGAAATGACCTCCCCAGTATAGCACTAACCATCCTATTTTAGGTTTTTCCAAATTTAACAATTACATAATTATGAAGGATTAGTGAAAATTTTTCAGATATGTTAGTAGCTGTGCAGAGGGACTCATACAACTGATAGAAGGAGGTTTCCATGTGAAACTGAAATACTGAAGAGAGAAAAGAAATAGAAAAGAGGGGATTATACTGAATGTCTAGGCAGCAATTGTTTCTGTTGTGCATACACATCCTGCCATTACATACTATGCTCCTCTCACTGTCCAGTACCTTTGCAGTTTCTACAAGAGTTTTTTCTTTCTTACACCATTCTCCTACACATTTGCAGAAGTGAAGATTCATCAATGTGTCTTATAAGATGTGACTATACTCTCATCAGTGCTCAAAAGCTGAATTCCATCAGTGAAATTACTAGATTATTTTATTTAACTCAAAGAACGTTAACTGCATTGCATGACTGTAGAAGTCAGCCTTAATAAATGGATAATTTACATAAACAGTAAACTTGTTGCCATATTTTCAGCATTATGTAAAGGAAATATAACCCATATCTATACATCAACGATTCTTTTTTTACATATTTGTGCTTTAAAACAAATATGAAAGAAAAGTAAGTAACAGCAGTGCTTATTTCCAAAGTGTAAAAATATCACATTCATTCCTAATAATCACAGGAAAGAGAATAATAGGAAAGACCCCAATAGATGAATCAACTAATATGTGTTTAGTAAGAGAAAAAGGTATTGCTGGACCAGTCTCCTGTTTTCCAGCAAATGCCCTTTATTCTTGTTCAATACAGCAGGAAATTCTTTCTTTATGCTGTAACTTCCCACTGGAAAAACTGAGCCCACAGCCCAAAGGACTGATCCTCTGCAAGGGGTTTAGGGAGCACTTGTTCAGGCAGGAGATTTTACAGAGGACTAAACCGGAAAGCAAAGTTTCAGCTGTGGGTATGAGACCACACTAACCCAGCACCGAGTTTGACCTAATTAACCACACCCAGAGACTTCTGGAAGTCACATAACCCTACAAGTTCTCAGAGACATTGAAGCTGAGAAGGGCAGAGGAACTGCTTATGTGTCGACACTGTAGAAATGTCCTCAAAAAAGCAAAACAAAAAAAAAGGGCTGAGAAAAGGGCTTTGGGGAAAATGGAAAAATATTGCCTAAAAGGAGCCTAGAAACAGAATGATAAAGTTGTCTCCCATTGCCTATCTTATGCTGTGTACAAGGAAACTTTTCACTGTTCATTTTTTCTAAACAAATATGAAAAAAAATAATCAATTCCATTATTATCTAAACCCAGAAAGAACAAATGTAACCACAAATATTCAAGTATTTCCCTTTTTTTTTTTTTTTTTTGTAACATTTTTGAAAATCACTGTTTTGGATTAGAACCCTTTTATTACACTAAACGCACAATATCACCACAATCCAAACTACTCTAACATATAAGCAGTTTTAATAGTAAGATGGGGAAAATGCCTTGGGTTAGGATTTTGCAAAGCACAAGTGGGTTACATTAATAAAAATTGAGATGGCTACATTCCTACAAGTGTTTATAAAAAGAAACTTACAGAATTCTGGCTTAATTTATGTTGCAACAAGGTTTTATTTTAAACTGCACCCTAAATGTTACAAAATTGTGGCTGTGACTGACATATAACTATGGATGTCAAAAAGCGGCAATTGTAGATGTCCTTCTATAATAGCAGCCAATTGCATCGAGACTCTCAAAAATACATTACTAGATAGTTAAGTCTAACTTTAGTAATTGGCTGAGAATCTGAATACAGAAAATATCAACACTGCTTTACAAGAAATCACACTTTATCTTATCAAGCACTACAGCACTTTTTAATACAATATTGCAGAACAAAATAAGAAGGGAATTTTACTCCAAGATGAAACATTTCTATTTGAACTCCACAGTAATTTTTGCTCACAAAATATCTATATATTATTCTGAGAAAAATTGATGAGTTGTTGGATTTGACTTAATTTATATATGTGATCATGTAAAGTATAAAATTACAATTAGAGACCTTAAAAAGATGTGCATTTTTGGAGGTCGGCAGGGCTGCTCAGCTGAGGGGGATCCTAACCAAAGCCAAAAGCCCATTCTCTGCCCCATCATAGACCTTGCAAATAAGAAGAAATTTACATCATATCTGACACCATATATCATATAATATAAGGTCACGTAAGATAGAGGATATCACATATATGTATTTTATGTAGTAAATGAAGAAATCATTTCAGCAGCATCTCATAGATTCCCTTTACGTCTTGGAACATAATAACTTCTCATAAAAATCAGCTTATTTAAAAATTAAAATTAGCTGCATGTCTTTTTAAATTTTTGACTACAAAAAGGCTTAGGATTTTCCTGAAAATTTCACTATGATAATTTCAGTATTTGTTAACCTCATTTTGATATCTCTTTCTACTACACCTGCTCTGAAATACGCTCTTATTATTAAAAGATCCATTTTTTTCCTTTTTTTCCGCCTTCTTTTAAGTTGAGCTTTGTTAAAAGGTATCGAAAAGGACAGAAACATAAAAAAAAAAAAATCTACATGATAAAGAACTTCCTGATGCCCTATAACAAGAATACAATGACAAAAAGGTTTTAAAATTCTTAGATGAAATCTGACTAATAAAATAAGTCATTATAGAGAAAAGTTACTGCTCTAAATGAAATAAGGGAACACATACGGGAAGCTGAAGCTCACAAAAACAGAGGACTTCCTCCCAGACTTTCTGCTAGGATCCAGATATGACCAAGCTTAAGTGGTGGGTTTTGTTCATTAAAATCTTACTGTTATACTTCCTTGTGCAGTGGTGAAAATAGAAAATAAGGAAAACATCCAAATTTATACTTTCAATAAGAAGTTACAAGGCAATGCTCCAGAATCAGTTTTCATAAATAGCTGGGTTTTTGTGCTACTATTGTTACATATTTCATAATGAAACTTCAAATACATGTGTTTAGACACGTAATCTCCCTCAATAGAATAAAAACAGACTGTATACATACACATTCAAAAAAACACCATATTGAAAAACGGTAAATAGGTCATCAAAGTCAAGGAATACAGACCTAGGAAATGCCAGGATTAAGGAACTTACAAACTCTTATCATTTGAAATTATTTCAGGAGTTTGATATGGGCTGCAATATTAATCTAATAATGCATTCCTACTTCATCATCTTGCAAATATATTGCAATTTTTTTTTTTAGTTTTAAAAAATGTGTTCCTCCTTCAAGCAGACTTTCTAGAACATATATTTAGGGGTTTTTTTACAGAATATAAAATAGCGGTTAGTTGATAAAATATGAGAACATTTTTTTCCTTATTCTTTACTATTAGCAGAAACAGAACAATGATCTAGCTAGCCCTTGCATTTAACCCAATACATCACTTCTTTTTCACTTTTAGTATATCTGAAAAACCATATACCAACTCATTTAAGAGGAAAAACAACACTGAACTTTCTATATCCAAATTTAAGTCAGAAACATAACTTAATGTATTGAAAAGAGGTGCCTAATCTTGCTTCCAATGAATTCTATGACAAAGTTTTTATAGACCATTATGAGATGGGAAGTATCCTTGGATATAATTACACAGGAACACTTTCTACATGCCACAGTACGTGCTGTACTACTCAAAATACATGAGAATAGGAAAGAGAAACTTCCATGAGAAAATTTTTTGCACAATAATAATAATAATTTCATCCTCAGATAAAACTCTCGTGTCACAATCCAAGTGGACTAACATTCAAACTGTTGCAAAACTGAAAGTGAGAGAACTACCTTACTCCCAGTTTCTCCATGTTGCTACAAGCTATGCATAGAAAGCTATACATTTTATGTTCAAAGTGTACCTGGTATGTCTTGTCCTTGGTATATGTATTTAAAGTATCTTTCGCAAATGAAGTATCTTATTGATGATGATGGCAACCTTCATTCAGTCTGGTTTTCACCACAATTCTGCTGTCTAGACCAAATAGAAATTGCCAATTTATACAGTAATTGCTACAGATTACACAGATACATAAATTATTATTTATGCCATCATATACAGTAATCTTCATTCTCCACATAGTAAATCTTTCACAAAGGTGCTGAAGTCAGGCCTTTAACTCCATATTTAGTAGAGATGGCAAAAATTCAAAATTTTCCAAATTTTCTTGATTTTCAAAAGTTGAAGGAACTGCTTTTTGCTCTGTGTGAGCAGTAGTTAAGAGGTGAATATTATGATTAGGAAATCTTTCCATTTTAGTGAGGAAGTCTACTACCAGAAGACTAAAGCAATTCGTTTCGAAATTTACATGTTACATGAAGCAACCAATGCCATGAGATACATTTTATATAACATTCCAGAGGTCACAAAGTATTTAATTTGAAAGACATAGTTTATAAACGTATATAAGAAGTACTACCCTCTCAGGAAAGGATCAAAGCTTTCAAAGTTTTCATTATGAAGCTCCTAGCTTTAAAGGTGCCAACTATAATACTCCACTTCTATAATGATACTTTACTGATGCACTGAAAGGCTGTAAAACATATTAGCAAAGAGCTGGTCATAAAAGAAATTGATGATTATGGATTATACTGTAGTTACATTTTGAAGTGAAATGGCAATTGCAATATGAAATTATTTTGTTGCACTTTGAAGAAGATAAAAGTTGCAAAGCAAAATATGAGTTAAAATATATAATATTTGTGGCATAGATGACAGAATAGTAGGACTGAGAATAGGCAAAAGATTTGAGTCAATGAGAAATAGATCATCATCCCTATTCTGAAAAATATTTGCTTCAGATCCATTTCCACAGCTCCTTCATCTTGCTTGTGTGGGCAGTCACTGAGCTCCCCAACACCAGTGGCTTCAAAATATCTACTTATAGGAGCAAGAAAGTCACATTTCCCCTTTTGCAAATTACTATAAATTCTGAAGCATGGAATACATTACATCACATTCCAACAGCAGGACAAGTTTCAAATTGCATAATTTCTGTTGGTCTGTCATCTGAAATTACCTAAAGTTAAGGTAGGCTTCCCTTAGTTGACCTCTTATAACACTTAAGGCTGGAAAACAGTTTAAATCTCAAAGTGGGATGCAAATTGTCTGTACCAGTGC